ATCTATTGTCCTGCAGTCAAACAGCATCAAGGTCACCCCTCCTGCCTCGTTCTCTCCCTCATCTCTGTATTTTTTTTTTTTTATCAAACACACACATTGCACACCAAAAATATCAATTTCACACAAGCTTGCAAAGCTAAATGTCCCTTTAAATTGGTGTTCACTTAGCAAATGCAAAAAGAGCTTTTAATGATTTTTCTCCATGCATGCAGCCAAACCCCTCACACACTAATAGATTGTTCACAGAGGGTCAATGGGTTTAGCGGTGGGCGGGGCGTCAGGCTGAAGGGCATGGTGGGCTTAAAAGTAACGATATAAAGTCCTCTACATGTGACTGAACAAAGACGACGATTGTTACTTTGACCCCTTATCATAACAATAATTGCTTTGTTGTTTTAGCTTCTAAAACTGCCTGTTAGTCTGTTTATTGCCGTTCTACTGTAAACTTCCTAAGCATTGGTGTTAGGTCCAAGGTGTGTTTGGCTGTGGGTTTAAAGCCCAGTGTGTTGTGTATCCAGACTGAGTCATATCTGCTGACATTCAGCACGTGCAAGTCAGCACGATTCGCTCAGCTGGGGCTAGCCCGCACCTCTGATGCCCCCGCCCCCATTCCCCAAACCTTCACACCTCTCCTCACAAAGAAAAAAAGGAGGGAGGGAATAGGGGCGGGAGGAGGGAAAAATAAATAATAAATGGAAAGGTGGTGATAGGTGGAGTGGCCTGCTAGGGTGGAGCTTCGCAGCATTTGGGGCCTCTTTTTAAAAGGCATCTCTTTGTGCTTGAAGGTTGGGATATGAAAAGAAGGACCAGATTGCAGTCAGTCTTACCCAAACAAAGAGAACAGGTGGAATAGACAGATGAAAATCAGATCAAAATGCTTCATAAAAACAGATTGGATATACAGTTTACCTGCTAATAACATGCATTAGCAGCTCTCCACTTAGAATGACAATATTCAGGAGCAGAGATATAAAGCTTCTCTGAGAAAAGAGAGAAAACAGGAGAGCCATCCCTCAGACCTGCACTGTGGCTTGTTGCCAGTGTTGTCTCTCAGGACCGGGGCTAAGATTAGCTTCCCATATGCTCCAGTCTGGCAGTGCCGGACTTAAAGGGACCACTACTCCACTCTGGTCACTGCTACTGTGCACACATTTCTTTATAATGCCCAATGTTTACAGCAGATGACAGCTGGATACGATCTGGGTAAACTGAGCGATTCCCAGCTTTCTGCCCTTTTTCATATTCCGCTCAAGCCAAATCCTCCAACATAAAGAGGTTCCCCTGGATCCATTTAAATAGACCTTAGCAACAAAGAGTTTCAAGTGCGTGTGTGTCTATAGTAGGTGCTGAAAGCTCCAACAGCTGTTGAACTATATTGCATAAAACCTGGCAGTGTATGCCAGCAGAGGGATTCAGGATTGTGTGCGCCATGAGCCCACTGGGAGCAACAGAGGACGCACCCGTCAGGCAAGTGAGAGTTAAAAGCTTCAGCAACAGCCGATGGCTCCTCCCCCTTTAGTTTTCATTCATTTTTTATTAACTGCGGCACCAGGCGGCTGACGACCTCCCTTCAACAAGCAGCCGGGACATGACCAAAGACGCCAACTGTTCGCTAGCCTTAACTTATCTGCTGCCATTTAGGAAACATGAATCCAGCTGCAGAATTCAATCCAGCTTTGCTGTATATCATATTCGGAGCAGCAAGAAGGGCAAACTGGCAGATTACTTTATAGCTAATATATTACATATTTGTAGGTTTTGGAAAGGAAAAAATAGTTAAAAATGAAGCTTTTAGGAGCTGAACACACTAAGGGGGACACACTGTCCTGGTTCATGTGTAGGGTCTTCTCTTCCCTGTGTCTGAGTAGGTTTTCATGACTTTTAGGATAATTTGGGACTCTAAATTACCCATAGGTGTAACTTTGTTAATATGAGTGTGTCCGTGTTGCCCTAAACGGGCAACCTGTACAGGGTATGCCCAAATAATAATGGAAGGAGGTACCAGCCCCTAGTAGAAGATAAAAGGTTTTCAAAACCTTTTTCAAGTTAAAAACCTTAAAAGCCTGGTATGCATTTGCATTTTTCTGTCTTGATATACTGTTTTGTGCAGATGACAGATTAGTGGAGGATTAGCTCTAATAGCTTTGGATACATCCAAGTCTGAAATTTTTGCCCATTCTCTTCGTGGAAATATCTCCAGCTCGTTTGGATTAGATGGAGAGCATCTGTGAACAACTATTTTCTTCCTCCACCAAAGTACTGGATATAGGCCACTTCATGTGTTCAGATGAACCAGTTGAACAGTTCTAATTCAATTCAGTTTATTTATAAAGCGCCAATTCAAAACACGTGTCATCTCAAGGCACTTTCCATTTAACCAGATCTTACAGTCAAATTGATTCAATGTTTTCTATCTAAAAAAAACCAGTTGATTGCATTGACTCATTGACTCCAAGGCAATCCCTCACACTAAGCATGCTTGTAGCGACAGTGGAGAGGAAAAACTCCCTTTTAACAGGAAGAAACCTCCAGCAGAACCAGGCTCAGTGTGAGCAACCATCTGCTAAGGCCGACTGGGGTTCTACTCAATCCTATTGTAGCTCTGGCAGCATGTTTCTATGTTACTACCCCAGCTGCATTTATTCTGTATCTTCTTACATTTCATTGGAGTAGTGACTTATAATTAGACCCATGTATGTTTTAGTTATTGTTTTTTAAAGTTACCACAATGCCCTTATATTGATACACAATAAAAGCCTGTGACTGAAGTGTCTTCCTAATAGGGAATGTTTTCCTACTTGTTTCCTCTTAATAACTTGTGGAAAACTATCACAGCTTTCTTTATGTTTTGTTTTTGTTTTTAAGGACTGACCTGAGTCATGATGTGCGTGCTATGCGGTTTTAATATTTGGCCATAAGAGTTTTGCATGCAGGCCAATCAGGGCTTACATCAAAAGGAAACTGTGAATATTGTGTTTATGTGAAAATGTTAAAAAAGCTCAAGAGTTCAATGAACACATTTTTGATGAAAATAAAGCTTGAAACATAAAACCATTTCAGTTCAAATTTAGCTTCATTCATTACTAGACACATTAAGATGTGTACGATGCGTATTTCTGTACAGGAAGTTTTGATAGAGATTAAAAACCTTCCAGATCAGAGGAAAAGCCTGTACTATTTGCAACGGACGTCTGAGCCTTTGACCATCTGTTACGTTTCAAGCTTTGTCAATGCTGCTCGGTAAGCAGGCTGCGGTTCTTCACTGAAGACTGGAAATCTTACAGAGCAGCAAATACATAAAAGCCGACACTGAATGGAAGAGCTGATGTCAAACCCTCCACTTCCTGAATCTGTAATATATGGTGAGCCATTTACTACGCGCACATACGCACAAACACAAACACGTGGGGCCGGCTGGATGGGTCACGTGGTCACCCTTTAATGCTTGGGCTGAAATTGCAGTGATGATGTCATCAGACATTCAGGGTTGCCACGGAAACTGGGTCAGTATGAATGCTTTGCATGCGAAGCTGGGGATTCCAGATGCAAAGCTAACGCATATTAGCGATTATTCCAGATGCTATCGCTGCCTTGAGAGGCTTGTGCTGTGCTCTCTACCACCTGTGCAAAGTGTGAATTTCATCACATGTATGAAGAGGAAATCCTGTGCATGGGTGTGGAGAGAAAAAAATCCTGTGAGTGCAGTCTGTCTATCGTGTAACCTGTTGTGGTAAACCCATTAAATACAGGTTGGTTTCCTGAACAGCACAGAAAATGTGCTGAAAAACAGAAAAAAAGGGTCCTGAAAACGCTGCTCGTCTGCATTGCAACCACAATGTTCAGCTTGTTGAAGATGGTTGTGCAAGGGCAGAAAAACACTTAATGATACAGTATGACTGCTTATTTGGATCGTCAAAATGAATGCTCTCTGAATGTGGGGTGTATGGGGTGTTTATCTCTGAACAAGCCGGGAATGTTTGAGAAGGAAACGGATCTTAATGAGGTAAACATTCCACCCAGGGCATTCTTAGAAACCTCTCCAAACAGGAGCCGGAGGAAAAAGAACACCAACTAGTTGAACACAGGAGAGGACACATGATCGTGTTCCCTGTAGACCAGATGGCAATATATACTTAAAAGATAAAAGGGCTGTCTACATTTGGACAGAGATTAAAGCAGGCTTACAAAAAAAAAAAGGTGAGCAGTAGCTCTTTATGAACGGAACAAGCTACATTTGATGTCTGATGACTTTGCCAGTGGGACAAATGTAAGACCTTGGCAGCGCCAATGTTCTTTTACGGCATTATTTATTTTCTCTCTCACGTTTTCTCGATTTTCTTCCTTACAAACAGAGAGCGTGTCCCGACATGACGCGTAGAAGAAAAAAATTTCTCATCATCCGCACCTCATCGGTTACTACACCCAGCGATCCGGCTCGTACGCATGCGTGACCCACTAACTTTTACTCCCTTTACCTCATTTGACTCCAGAACCCAGGAAAAGCAGGACAGCTTCCCTTCCTGGCTAGTGAGCCAGCGTGCAGGCTTCCTTCTTGCTCCCTCCCTCCCTTCTGGCTTCCTTCTTTTCCTGGTCTCTCGCAGTATCTACACATGCTAGACTCTTGCACCAATCAGCTCGCAGCGTGGGATGCTTTAAACCGAGGATGCCGGCGTGTCATCGAAAAAGGAATCAAGTTGCCTTTTTCGAAGAGGTAACTTTTTTGCAGGATGCCTTAGTTGATCTGAAGCACCATTATCCTCTCTGGAGGTGAGATCCAGGATGAAAGGAAGCGCTCAAACATTCGCGGCGCTGCAAATAGTCAGATGACCTTTCCAGATCTCTCCGACCAATGGCTGTGAACCCAATTACATAAAGACTACCGATGGTTTTCACATTGATAGAAATGAGAAACTGCTAACTGTGCTTTCTAAACTTGATGGGTTAAGTCGGTAGCAACATAAAAACACTTAAAGACACAAAAAACCAGGGACCCCTCTTACCTGAGTTGCTACTTCAGGGGGTTCAACACAGCCGTGACTCTTGTCTTCAGAAAATCCCACCTTTTCAGCCAGGTGTGGTAAGGGATGGGGTTAGGGGTGGGGGAGAGAGAGATATTAAGAATGACATGGTGCTGTACCAGTAAAAGTACTAACAACAAGAAATGTATGACACCATTCCAACAACCATTCCTGCAACAAAAAGCAAGCATGAACAGAAATCTTTGATTTGTGCAAAGAGTGAGCCGGCGTTTTCCTCCGCTGCCAGGACGCCGGATGAGATTCAGTTTTCCTCCTTTAATTAGGTGAGGTCTCCACACAGACATTGTTACAGACTCTGGATGTTTGCTCGTCTCACAACAGGAACAATTACAGCAGAAGCATACGTAACTGAATGGGATATCGTGCAGAGACACAAGCATCTTTTTATTTGCACAGCATGTCTCTGTGGTTTCAATATGCTCTGGCTGTCTCTATGTCATATGATGTGTTTTGTCTCAAGCTGCTCGCCAGCCCTGCTAACCTACACACACAAATGCACACTCACACACACACACATACAGATACACACTCCCTCCACCATTCCCACCTCCTTGCCTCCACCCTCCTATCACTCCTAAAATAGTCTGGAGAGAGGAATATTTACCCATCAAGCCTTGGAGCTGCTTCGGTTCGTACTCCTCCGTCCTCTGACAGAATCCCCCATAAGAGAATCTACCTCTCTTGTCCTCACCCCCTTCCCCTCTGTCCCTTTCTTCTGTCTCCACGTCTCCCCACTCTTCCTTCTCAGTCTCTCTTTCGTCTGCGTCCCAGCAGCCCATTCAGGAAGCCATCTTGTGTTTTTAATCAGGTTTTACATGAGCCCTCGTACGCACGTTCTCTCTCTTTCTCTCTCTCTCTCTCTCTCGATGCGTTTGCTCTCCCTCGCACTTCCCCCCTCCCTCCCCTGGCTGTCTCTCTTTCTCATATGCCACACATAAACACACGCACACACGCGCGCACAAGGGATCTTTTTTCTATGTGACTGCTATCACAGCTTCCTCCCACTCATGCAGTATTTTTTTCTCTCCTCCCACATATCTGATGTCCCCTACAGACAGCCCCCCCCCCATCTCTAACAAAATATACACCCATGAACTAAAAGCACACACACAAATGTACAGAGCTCACTCGAGAGACGTCACATTACAGATAGCACACAAAGGCGGTCTGTCCACCAATCAGAGGACAGGCGAGGGCTCTGCTGCTAGGCTGAAAATGAAGGAGAGCAGGCTGGGGTGTGGAGAGGAAAAGTAGAAAGAGGAGGTTAAATACAAAAAACAGGCTTGTGTGTGTGTGTGTGTGTGCAGTGCAATAAAAGAAAGGCTGACATAAAGAGACAAAGTGAAGGTAGGTGGGAGGTGTGCATGTGTGTGCTTGGGTTGGGGGGGGGCTTCTCTCTATGCTTGTCAATTATCTCCTCGAACTCGCCTTCCCTAAACAATGCCTCTGGTATGTGGTATCGCTGTGCACCATCTGTGTTAGAGCTGCCTGCAATAACTGGACTGGACTTTGCAGCGGAAGCCCAGCATTCACATTCAGTTACACAGACCTTCTCGATGAGACCAACACAACAGGTCTGACGGGTGCAAAGCACGATTACTCAGCGGAACGCCTTCGGTGCTGACTCAGAAGAGCAACATCAAACGCTGCAGATTCTGGTTTTCCACGAGCACTGTTTTGGAATCTGTCCCAAAAAGGTTGACAGATGCGACTGTGTCGTCATGTATGTGAGCTGTAAAGCCAACACGTGGAACAACATGCCTTGATCTTACACTTTAGGGGACAAAACGCCACAAACTCACTTTGTTCTTTTAGATTATAGACATAAGAGTTCATGCTGTTGCATTCTGAGGGGTAAAAATAATCTGAATAGCAATTCTGGTTTTTCAGAGCATATACGCTGTACGCTGAGTGAGTTCAAGCCACAAAAGTGCAGATGAAATTTTGCTTTGTCTAGAACAACAATCTAGCAGCAGCGAGGATGCAATTTGTGTTTCTTTCCACTCAAGTCCACGAAAAAGAACGCTCGCAGAAGGAAGAAGCAGCGACCATAGAGCGGCGAGCGAAAGTCAGCGAAAGTTCAGGGAGGCCGGTGAAGACACAGCGGATGGAGCCCAGTTGGACATACGGCGAGAAGCTGACAGACTGTGTGAGAAGCGAAAAGGAGGGAGCTGAACTGTGGCACGGTGAAGCAGGGCAGCCTCAGCGTGACGTAGCATTTTGTGGTGTCTGTCTGACACTCTTGTATGGCATGGGAAATCCCCGCCTCTGACGTAAGATGCACCACGTGTGTGTGTTAGTGTGTGTGTGTGTGTGATATTTATGTGTGAGCGGAGGCGTGATTGTGGCGAGCTGGACTATGTGATCAGTTCTCTCTTTGCTTTGTTACAGGTGGAATCAAGCAGTTGTAGATCTTCAGCCAGAGCTACTTACGGCTTCGTTGCCGTACAAACAGATAGAAGTAAAACTAACTCTGCTTAGAGATCATGCCGTTCATATCCTCTAAACTCCACTCATTGCCACATTACAATAAAGTGTCATGCCATAAACAAATGCAAAATAGCTAAAAATGTGAAGGGAAAAAAAAAACTAGATGTTTTTTAACAGCTTTACAAATTAAACCTGAACATATCATATCCACTTGTATTTAGCTCCCCCAGAGACTCAGCTTTCAGCTTTTGCAGCCTCCAATCTGCTGACCTGATTGTTTAACCAATCTGCTTGGAAGGATATTTCAACAGTTCAGTTTAGATGACGGCCATATTCGAGCATCAATTTTCAACTTTTTCTAGATTTTCTCTATTTGATCTATGTCTGTATGTAGCTTGGATCTAAGTCATTCCAGCATAGATCTGGCTGAGCATTCGGGGTTGTTTCCTGTTTGAATGTGAACCCCTGCTTGTGAGGTTAAAGCTAGACTCGATTTAATCTGTGTATTACTAATACCTGTATGTCAGAGGATTTATCCGTCTGGACTCCTGATTGCTGGAGCATCTCCAGATCTAACCATGTCTTGTAGCTGCTTCTGTGTTTACTGAAGTTTCGGCTGTTTCTTGGTAATTTAAACTTTGCCATACTCTTTACATTTTATTTCAATTCAAATAAAATATAGTTTATTAACCTAAAAGGGAGATTACATGTTGTAACTCATATCAAAGGGATGCTGGTATAGAGGCTGACGGCTGCAGGCAGGAAGGATGTCCTGTAGCGGTCTGGCTTACTGCAGATATTGACTAAAGACACTCTGTTTCTGTAAGACTGATGAAGATGACGCTCAAGTTCGTCAATCAAGTGATTAATAGGATGTTTGTAGCTCAGTATTTGAACCTTGTTGAATAACGTTCTCTAACGATCCTCTAAGGCCTTCAATAAATGGACCAATATTGAGGTCAAAGTGCACAAATTTGGACTCTTATTTACAATTAAGTAACTTAATTATGCAGCTAACGGCAGAAATTTTGAAATTCAAGAGTCATTTTTCCTAAAGTGTTTTTTTTTTTTTATCAAGCATGTAATTGAGAACCTTTGCCAATGCAATAAGGCCATTTAAATTTAAAATAAGAAAAATAAAATAGCATCATCTTATCTCAGGTGCATAATGGTGGAGTGTTGGCCAAGTGGTTAGAGCAGTGCACTTGTGCTCTGATAAGATTGCAAGTACACGGTTCGATCCCCACAGCCTGCACTCTGAATCCCTGAGCAAGACCCTTAACCCCACACTGCTCCCCAAGCGCCGCACAGTGGAGATGCGGAACTAAATATCTCCAATGTGAGATCAATAAAGTTTAATTATTATTATTTTAAGAGTAAAAATATTCATTCAGTTGGCAGGTCATCTTATTCACCAAATAAAATGAATGGTAAATACATTTAATGTAAGAAAATTGTGCTTATCTTTTGTGCAGTATAACTGCATTAGATATCATTTAGGAGCATCAGACTACCGGGTAACAAGTGCAGTTGCACACCACACCTTTTAGATTTTCAACACCAAAAATGTCAAAACTATACATCATTTCCCTTCTGCTTCATAAACATTAACCTCAATAAACCACATTAAGTTTGTAGTTCTAGCATAACTAAATGTGCAAGAATACGGTAAAAAAAAAAAATGAAGTACTAATCAAGGCAGATTAGGCAACAGCCAGAGGAAATATTCTAATCTCTAGATTTTTATCTAGATTTATATATTTTTTCAGTTAAAATGGAAAAGAGAAATCTAAAATATTCTTATAGACACAGAGAATCTTTTGACATCTCAATTAATCCTCAAGTCAAACATTTTTCCCTAACTAAAAACTGAATAGAAAAACTCATTCAACCTCCTCTCATTCATGCTCAGAATGTTTGAGCATTGATTTTGATAACATTACAATCTTAAAACTGCAGTGAGCTACAGAGCAGTTCTCACAGAAAAAGACAGAGAATGTGGGTGGCAAGCAGTGAAGAGCTTTGCTGTTGAATGCACACAGATGTCAGAGGGCAGAGGTGGAAGGAAGCACCATGGGGGAAGGGATACAGATGTAAGCAACAAACCTAAGCACAGTTTTCAAGCAGTTTAAAAAACTTTTAACACTTGGTCCACTGTTTCAAAAATAGGTTTCATCTATAGCTTTTATGTCAGCCAGAGCTGAAACCCTGTCTAATGTTAATATTGTCACCAGTGCCTGTCTTCAGAGTCACTTTTCAGCCATGTGCAGCCAGAGAGGCACAAATGTGTGGCAAACTGCACACATGGATCCTATTTGGACAGTTGATTGGACCAATGACAAGCAGAACATCACCTGAAACAAAATGAGGGTGTGTGGATGCACGGAAATCTTCAATGAATCTAGGGTTGCCCAGTATGAAATATCACAATTTTACTTTTTACTGCTATTGTCAGTTACATTATATTCCTATTATCTCTTTCTCATCAGTGCTTCCATCAGTCTGTGAACTTTTTGAAGCATTTTGTTTAATGACATGCATCGGGTGTGAGTATCTGCTGTCGTGAAACTAATGTTAAATGAACTCAATGTATTTTGTGAATGTATCC